CTGGGAGATAGTTAACACAAACTACAGGTTAAACATCGTTATTGACGGTATCGACTCGCTGTTATACATATGTTGTAGAATTGATCAGGTCGATAAATATGTTTAACCTGCAGTTAGTGTAAACCAGACATTAAGAAACTGGCCCTAAGAGGAGAAGCCTTTGGAGCATCAAAATTGTAAACAGCCTTTTGTTTCCTCTCTTTATTGAGTTCTGTCCACATGGCAAATAGCTTACTAGCGATAGTACATAAAATTGACGAATTAAATTCAAAAAATCTTTATTTTACACGCCTTTGATAATCTAAACAAGGGAAACAGTTTAAAGGCCCTTTTAAATTTAATTTTTAAGAACAAAATTTAAAGGTAAAAAATAAATAAAAAAATAAAAATTCGAAGTCCGAAAAGCACTTCGATATCTAAAGGCGAAAAGGTGCCAAGTCCACCTTTTTCCAAAATTTAGTTTTTGATGCAGAATGACAGATAATGCGAAACTATGGCGATTTTTCATCTCTGCTGCACAATTTAAAAAGCTGGACGCGACAACTTTTCACCTTTAGGTAAAGACTTACTTTTCCTTTATTCTATATTTTTGTTAATTTCTAAGATAATTAATAACACAAATATGGTTGTTCGAAAATAGTTAAAAAAAACCAACAACATAAAGTCGATTTCAATACTTCACTCACAGGCAACGACTTTGATCACCTGCAAAGCAGTTGTCGTTGGTTTTTTACAAAAATAAAAGACACCGTTATTTGATTTGAATTTTTCTCGATCAAATACCATGGACAAATAGTTTATTTTTGTAAGTACGAAAAATGGGTTTTTGCCACAAAAACTGATCAATTTACCTATAGTGTATTGGTGTTATAACATATAGACGCACAGCACAAATTTGTAGAAAAGTTCGTTCAAACACTTAGCTAAAATGTGAGCGCAATTTTATTTTTTTTTTAATTTTCTATTTATAAATACAGTTTGCTAGAGTACATACAAATTTAAATCTTACGATAATTACAACACTTTTAATAACATCTTTAATCACCTTTTCTTACAATTATTTTTTTT